CTAATCATCGTCTAATAATAGTACCCTAATCGAAACTTTACAAACCGCTGCTGAAGCAAATTCTTTATGAACATGACATGATACTTCTTGGATTACAAGTTAAACCAAAAAAAAACAACGATGCTTGTCATGCAACATTATTAGAACGTGTTCTTCAAATCTAATAACATTGTTGTAACCGATATATTGGAGCCATTTCGCCTTAATGTAACATTCAATCAACAATGATGATAGTTTTTTATCACGCACCTCTATTGGCAAAGCTTCAAATTAAATCACGTCGCAGAGTGAAATGGAAGCGAAGACTTTCACATTATCTCCAAGCTGTTTTACAATATTAATCTGAATATTTCCCGTTTCGCTGCGAGCGAGCCCTTGGCGGCGGCACGCTCTAGTTCCCAAACTGAAATGTTAAAAAGAGCAAGTCTTTTGGAACGGGAACAAACCGGTCAAATGCGAATCAGCTCACGTGGTCCACATTCCTAACCAATGTAATTATTTGGGATACCGGCCGCTGAAAACATTAAATATTTGGTTTTACTAACTGTTGATATAACTTGGTGGTCGTAATTTGGTTGTAGGGTCATTCCTATTATACATAGATGTTTGGATCATGTCAGTGCCACATTCAGTTGCCATTTCCATTTCTAAGTACTTCCAAACAATCAGTGTTAGTGAATGGACTGGCTCACCTCTAGTCAAGTATATTGGCATTCTTCATGTCCACTAAGATTGCTTGCTGATTCGTCGCAGGCTCGTTTTTGTTTTAGCCTTTTCAAGTCACAGGTCCCATTAATGTGCTAGCCACATGGCACATTGCTCAATTATCGTGACGAACGCAAGAAAACAGGGCACGTTAAAAGCGAACATTAAGCTATTAACGAAGTAACAGTTAATTGGTGACACACACACCTATTGAGTCCGCGCTACGTCGCTGATACGACGTTTTTGTAACTATTTCAAAGGCAGAGCCTTTGAAAGAGGAAGCGACGAAATATTTCGATTCCGATACTAAATTGATTGCTACCTGTTATCTCCATTTCCTTTGTGCAACCTGTTGCCAGTTACAATGCATGTGTTGATTAGGCATTTATAACATTCCGAGTATGGAAAGGCAAGGATGGCTTAAGGCGTTACAATCAAGGGCAAGTTACAAATTAGAACACAATATGCGTCACGCTAGATTTTAATTTTCCCACACTAATACGTACAAAACCAGTGGCTGGGAGATTTACGTCAGAATTATACGGAGAACCGAAAATACAACGTAATACCTAGTGTCACGGTTGTGTGATGTGATTACATTACAAATTATTCAATTCGTTCATTACAACGTCTAGCAAGTTTACACGATAATTTCATGAAGGTCGTTATGCAAACTCGGAATGTTTCGTAGGCGCAGCTATGAACTGGCGCCCTTGGCGTAAGATTATGTCATCATAAAATATCTCGTCTCGTCTCCAAAGTCAGGTGTCGCCAATATGGACATTTGAATTTTATTGCAGTTTAAGTATTGAACGGTGGCACGTCACGCAACGGTTTCGGCAGCTACCTAGTTGTTCCCGTCACGAATTTCTGATTGGTCAATGTTCAGTTTTGCACGCTAAATTCGTGCACTAGTCTCGATTATTTTTATTGCTAATATATTAAAATTTGTGTACACTTTCAACAGTATATTACTTAAACTTTAAAACAGTGAATTGCACTATTTTATTTAAAACGATTGAGACTTCCGCGTCCTTATCTTGTATGGCAGAACTGATAATTGGTTACATAATTAATATTGTTGATCTTGTAAATTAAATAGAATCAATATCAACACAATAAATTTACATAGTAAATAGAGCACAATAGCTATGCGGAGTCTATCTGTTTGTCCTTCCTCGTGTATGTATATTTTATTAGGAGGAAACGTGATCACAACACAATTATATATATACGTATTTATAATAATGTTTTATGATAAATTTCTTCTTCAGGCCTTTCCCAAGTGGGTCGGGGTCGGTACTGAACCTACTGGATACCGTTGAATATAATAACTGGAAGACGATAAAACATTCTTGGTATGATTCGTCATGGTTTTGTGGTCTAACTGGAAGATACGGTTTTATTTGTTCAACAAAATAGCTCTAGAAAATATTTGCCGTAGATAAATAGACCTCAAAAACCTAGCTTTTAGGAACTTCGGAAACTCTCCAATACAATCACGCACAAATTAAGATAGAAAAATCAAAACATTAGAACAATAATCTGATGCACCAACGCCCAAGGTTATCAGACAAGATATGAATGAATTAGGTACGATAAACTGTACATTATCTACAATGCTGGCACGAAAATGTGATAATGTAACGATAAATATTTATATCAATACGATACGACTAACAATATTACTTTGGTCTGAGTAAAAACAAAGCAATGTCATATTTAGTAGTACTGCATTTTTCTAATATGACTATTATGATTGATTACTTCGTACTTGGTCCCTAAAGACAAATAATGCTTAGGTGGGATTATTTAACAATGGCTTCTTATTGGATGCTTCATACTTTCGTACTTGGGAGAAAACAATAGATTTTTTTTTTCTCTTATAAGTAATATATTCTGATTTATTTCGTTGCGTGAACTAAGACAGTTATTATGTCCCTGGAACGCGCCGGACTTTAGTGTTCCCGTGTTTTCAGTTGTATCTACTGTAGATCCTGGCTTACAGGAGTTGCTGTGGTTTTGGGAGGTTGTGGCTGGCTTGTTCCATTTAAAAAAAACTAGCGACCCGCCCCGGTTCTGCACCCGTGCAATATGCATGTATTGTACATATAAACCTTCCTTGGGAATCACTCTATCTATTAAAAAAAACCGCATCAAAATCCATTGCGTAGTTTTTAAGTTCTAAGCATACATAGGGACAGACAGACGGCGGATAGTGATGATAATACACTCAAAACCCTTTCTTCCATAAAAACCTAATTTAGTTTTAGACGGTTTCCAAATTCTTATACTGTTTATTCTAATAACACGTCTAAAGTCGTTCGGTTTGAAATTCAGTGTTTCCCATAGTGATTCGGATGAATTATTGTATCAAATTGAACGATTAATTAAAACAAATCGATTAAAAAATTAATTACGATATAATACAACCGAAACGTCGATGAATTTGAAAAATTGTAAAATGTAGGCCAGGGAACAGGTTTTATGATTATTATCTGAACGATTGTCGTCGGCGTACAAACCACGGCCATTTTTGGCAAAAAACTTTCACTCAGTTGTGATAAAAATTTACATTGTTTTTATACGCCCAAAGCTTTAGAAACTATTGGTATTCGAATGTAACTTGATGTTGGTTAACATAGTTTAAACATCAAACCTGTTATTTGGAAGAGATAAGCAGAAATTACATAAAGTAAATAGATACCTAATCACACTAATGGCAGATTATATCATTATTCTCAATTTCGTGGTAAGTTTAGATAGGTAGATTTAAAACCAAGTATCACTCAAAATTCGAGGAAATAAACTCTTGAATAACAAACTGGGTTCGGAGAATAGTCAAGTAAATATTATTGTTGAAAAATTAGCATTCAGCTTAAAATTACAACACGATAAGGCAAAGTAATAAATAGAAGTTTTAATTAAATGTGGCAACTTTAATCAGTCTTCCTGTTTACATGATAATGTGGTTAAATATTGGAACAACTTGATACTGTTTGAGCGGAGTGTAACTTACAACCGAGGCTTACTACGACAAAACATTTAAAGATCCATTTCTCTTGTAACTATGCACTAAACTGAGATGTCTTTAAAATGAATAAATTGACATATTTTGGGACATTACTGCCATAGTTACGCTTATAATTGACCAGCAAAACATGAATATTTTACCCGCTAAGCATTTTCCTAATCGAATTTGAATGTAATCTAGCTTATAAGATTAATTTTACAACATAACTTAATAATTTATCTCATGGAAATCTTGCAAGAAGCTACTTATAAGAAACTTGGATCCAAAAAAAGAAAAATTGCTTCTTTTTTCCTGTAATTGCAACATTTTGTATAGAAAAAAACCTACATAAAATTGCCATCTATTATAGATATAAAAAGTGTAGAAGCATTTGAGCTTGGAATTTAATCACATAATTGTTGCATTGTCTATGTTCTGACTACTTATGACTCACAGACGATGTACTTGAGTATGATCCATGTTTTGTATATGAAGTTTTAAAAACTTGAGTGTTGAATCATAACATGCAAAATATATGTAAAACACTCAAAAAGGGGGAATAATTAGAACTACATACTTCAAAATAGTATGTGTATTATGTTTGTTTAATTAAGTGTCATCAAAAACAGTTTATTATTTGTTTCTAATGTTTAAAATCGTTTTTGTAAGTTATGGTAGTTCATGACGTTTAAATTGCAACTATGAGGAAGACAAGAAGCTTTATCAGAGAATAATTTAGGATACTCAGTACCAAGATTACTGAGCACCCATTAACCTATTCCACTTAGTTGCCTTAGTAATTCTTTCTAAGAAAAAACTAACATTAATATTTGAAGTATGAATTAGTTAAAGCAACATTAACATTAATTCAGATAAAGTTGTTGAACTAATGTAATTAGGATAACATTTCAGACTTAAAATTATGTGAACACAAAAAATGACATAATTATGTTTAGATAAGTTCTTTTGATGATAAATTACAAAACATGTTGCTATTATACTCAACCTACACCATTTAAGATAACAGAACAAGTGCCATTTTAGAGAATAATTAGCTTATTGTTGTGTTGATAACACAAGAAAATTGTGTTGATTATAAATAAATACATTTGGCACACAGGACCCAATGAGGTGATTAACTACACAAGTAAATTGAAACCTGTTCTCAACAAGATTTAACACTAAGGTCATGACCGACACAGAATTCACACTTTAATTGGCATTAACACAATTTGCAAAAAATAAACAATAAGAAAATCTTAAACAAAACATGGGTACATACCTTGAATGAGCTGTGAACTAATGTCTCGTCGAGATCAATGACCATACACTTTTTATGCATGTCCTGGTGTTTCACTGGGGGTAATAGTGGTCGCGGGGCGGTGTGGTCCATGACCAGCAGCCCCCGCTCCTGCGGGAGCGGCGAGGCCCGGCCATCGATGCTGTTCGCGCCATTACTGCCGGGCGGACCCTTGCCTCGTCCGCCGCGCCAGCAGCACAGCAGGGACCGGAGGAACCCGCCGCCACCGCTTGACTTCTTACTGCCCAATGGGGCTGACCCCGACACCGGCGTAACATCCCCCTCATTATGTTGGCCGCCAGGGGATGACCCTAAAACAACCATTGCACATCAGATCACTCCAACACAGTAACTCACACACGGAAGCCCCAAAGAATATCACCAGAGGAACCGTAAGGAAAGAGAAGTGTTCAAGGTTGCCGTAAATGTTATCGCGTCCACACGATCCAATTGTTTACCTCACAGCACACGCACGCGAAACGGAACCAAAGAATTACAAAACGTTCACTAATCCACTGATCCAACATCGATCACGATTAGCAAATATTTACGAGTCGTGAGGAGGTAACACTATACGCTCTAATTTGATGCTAGTAGGTAACAGGTGTAATTCGGTTGGGATTTACCTCTGTCGGATCCATAATTGTTTAATTGCTCGTCATCCCGTGACACCTGAGTTATAATGGACGATGCGTCCATTTAAACATTTGATTTTAGCCCTAAGACAAACGGCAACAGAGTTTTTGTAAAATTTTAACACCATAAAACTATTTTTTATCTCCCTTCTATCTTACAAAATGGCAGGCTCTTAGCAAATACCAACTTTGAATGTAGCCAACACATAAAAATTATACAATCGTTTATCTCTATCTGCCCTATGTGAGTACTTCAAGACAGAAAGAAATAACAATATTTTACATTTCAAATTTCGTTAGGTTACTACTTCTGTCAACCAACAGCCAAAAATAGTTTAGCTATCGTTCGAAACCTAAATAAAATTATTGTTTTATTTTTTCACAACAGTATTTTACATTATGTTTATAGATATCAGTCGGTAATCAACAGTACAAATTATAGTCAAAAACTTTCATTACAAATTTTGAAACAAATGAGAAACTTTACACTCAATATATTTTAATCGTGTTTCAGATAGAAAGTTTTCGAACGCTTTGGCACAGGCTAAAAATGTTGAGGTGGCTTTGGCATTTTTTTTGCTTTTTTATATTTTGATAAGTAACATTCTTGGTCTCATCTCATATAAATAAAATATTAATAAATTAATTCTGATAAGAATGCCTCTAAATAATAATTTTGTTGTCTATCTTGGTCAGTCTCCTGATTTTTTTTTATTCCATCGTAACCCATAACCACAGACTACTTAGAGATATTACATTTGTTATCTGCTGTAGTTTTCAGTGTTGCAACTTATTTAAACAAAATCAAGAATTCAATATAGTACCTATACATTTTAAATCAAGTACAATGTTACGAAATAAGCAATACAATGAAAAAAATGCTTTGAAAAACCAACGGAATATAGTCTAGTATGTCTAGAATCAAATAAAGAATATCAAAGAAATAATTCGTAGGAGTATCAAAGAAAGAATTCGTAGGATCGTATTTATACATATTTTTTTACAATTAACCATGAGAAAAAGAATTCGATTGAGTATAAAACAAAATAATTTTACGATAAAAACAGATCATAAAATAGTCTCAGTCTAGCACCTAAACCCTTTTGAACATACACACAAACACTCACTCACACATACTGACTTAGTATGTCTCACGAAAGTTATAACATAAGTATAGTTTATACCGACTTTTATGTTTCATTAATTAGCTAATAATAATCGTTGTCCGAGTGTTCGCAAGTGCGACTGCTGAACACGGGTCAGACAATGTATTACTGGGTTTTAAGAAAAATCTTAGTAATAGCACAGATTTTGAAATTGTGCCCATACCGGGACCGGTATTGCTCCGGTATAGAGCAATAGGCTCACCTCCATTACATGGGACTCATGACATAAATAGTGAAAAGTTAGTGTTACATTACATTGTACAGTGGCATTAAGTGCTGTAATATGCGCTTCTGCCTCCCCCCTTAAGGATAAAAGGCGTAATGGTATGTATGTATAATTAATAACAGCAGTTCTTGGCAAGAGGCTCTTTTCCTCATTAATACAGATTTCCGAATTTCTGAACCTATTAATATAAGATTACTGTAATTAATAAAGTTTATAATATAAGAAATAAAAATAAAATATAACAATTTTCTTCTCGATTATACATTATCAATCATATCGATTATTTTCCATATTATATCTTGTGCACTAGCAACACCACACTTTGCTTTCTCTTTTGAAATGAAAGATGCTCTGTCTGTGTCGACTTGTCAAAAACAGATTTGTTTAGTTTTTTCTTAAAAAATCTATTACATCGGAGAAAATAGTTTACTTTAACTAATGTGTGGCGAGTTGTGATTGTAGGTATTAGTGATTTTAGTGTAGCAAATTGACCCCAACACTTGGTCATAATGGCGCAAAGAGATCCAGGACCCATACCGAATAGGTGGTTGAGATGTCCACGAAAAGCAACGGGACTTATTGCTGATAAATTTATGGCTTTCAAGACACCTTTGGGGTCTCAATTCAATGATAAAGTACCTGAAGAAAACCGTTTTACTCCATCCATGTTATTTATGTACATGAAAAGTATGAAAGTAAGTCGTATTCACATCCGACCATTTCTGAAATATTTTTCACTTTTTGTGTATTTTATCCCAATAAATTTGTCTCTAAATAGTATCATGCATTATTATACATTACATTATAGAACATTTGTATAATTTAGTGTGCAGAAAGAAGTAGATTGACCAATAAAAAGTAACAAATATTACAGCCATTGTTTATGCCAATATGAAAGTCTATTTTTAGAGAAAACGTGACAATGTGGTATTATAAGTTCCACGTCTTTTGTATTATCCAATATTTTTCATATTCTAAAATTAATTAACACTCTATTTTATGGGTATGTAAATCATAGGAGGATGTATTTTCAGATAAAGTTAGGTCTATGGATAGACCTGACTAACACCAGTCGATTTTATGACAAGAAAGAGGTTGAGGAGACTGGTTGTAAGTATGTAAAAATGCAATGCAGAGGCCATGGTGAAACACCATCTCCAGATCAGACTAGGTAAAAAAATATCAAAAAATGTTAAATATATCACTTTTGTACATATTGTATTACTGTTGATGCTTTGAATGACTGACAAATAAAGCAATCATAAAAATATAGAAATTATAAATAACACCGGATAACCGACCTTTGCCAAACAAAATTTTCTGCAATTGAATTCTAGCTATATCGATTTATCAATCCATAAACCCTCTAAATACAAAATTTCGAGAAATTCTTTAGAGCTATTTCCGATATCATTGATATATGTACAAGAATTGCTCATTTAAAGTTATTAGATGTACTTACCATAACTGCCATGATAAACATGATTGAGGCGGTGAGCCTGTTGACAATAAAATAATATTAAAATTAATATAGGTATGTATGTGTGTAACGAAGGTCTATACTTCAGCGGTAGTCTGTCTCAGGTTGTTGATCATGATGAAAGATACATTACTGCATTCATTAAACTGTCAAACACCAAGCGGTCACCGGTGACCGCAACCTATTGTTCTATAATTGTGTCTATAATGACGGTACTCGACGAGTTAATACACTAGCACAAATGCAGTAATAAATATACAAGTAGAGAAGGAACTTCCTCTAATATTCAGAACTTCGGTAGATCTTTTAAAATTATTCATTTTGTTGCTGTCATTTTCAAGTAGGTAATTGTTTATTTTTAGAAAAATAACAAAATACAAAATAACAAACTTAATAATATTTTTTTCAGGGAATTCATCCAATTAGTTAGCAAATTTGTGAGTCAGAAGCCGTTAGAGTTGATTGGGGTACATTGTACTCATGGCTTCAATAGGACAGGGTTCCTACTGGTTTCCTACATGGTGGAACATCTGGACTGCAGTGTGCAGGCAGCCATCATTGAGTTTGCAAGGATGAGGTACTGTATCCTTTGATATTTGAGTAATCTATCTACATAATAGTGCTTAGGCTTTTTTTTAAAGAGTAACAAATGGAGTTTCTTTCTTGTTTGCTCACTCGAATCTACATTTTGGAACAAACACTTAGCTTCACTGCCGGTCAGACTGACAGACTATTATTTATTTTTTATTTGTGGATGTTTTAAAAGTACCAAATTATTGTTTAATTTTTCTTATATTCAAAGTGGCTATGTTTGATTACTATCTCGCCTGGTGATAATGGAAATAAATGCTTTTGAGTTTGAGTTTGCAAGACCTCTTATCATTTTTCCAGTCTCCCATATTGAATGTTATCTTTTTAAAACTGTTTTTTCTTTTATGTAATGTTGCATACAATCTGTCCTATTTTTCTACCACACATTGCTTAGATCAAGTTTTTTGACAGAAATTCAATGGAACTAATATAAAAATTATCATCAATGGAAATAGATTTGTTATTTATTGATGTCAACCACTAGACAATGTTCATTATAAAACAAATCTTAATCAAGACTATTATATCATCAGTAGTAGAAAAGCTATAATAGGTAGATGACTAATTTTTATTTTAATGTCCTTCTGGTACATTATTGTAAAACATTGGGCACATATTTTTAATTTTCTTACAGAAACAAATACTTTCTACTATATATTGATTTGAAATATCGCGTGACGACACACACATTCTAGAGACGTTTTATACGTAGAAATGACGTTTTAGCTTAGCACCCACTCCTAAACTTTGATTCATTTTATCTTAGTTTTGGAATCTTATACGTCAAAATAAAAAAATACGAGTCTAATATTTTTTCATTATCTAACTGACGGACTAATTAGATTTTCATACCCTGTCATCATCCCTATTAACTTCCTGAAGTTAGTTTATTTGTTTGCCATGTGTAGCTGATGGATTTCCAATACATAAATATACCTCTATAATGTCTTTATTAAGATTGTACAGACTAATGAGACTAATGAGCATTACTTTTAGACCCCCAGGTATATACAAACAAGACTATTTACAAGAGTTGTTCCGTCGGTACGATGAAGTGGAGTTGACTCCCGCTGCTCCCATGCTGCCTGACTGGTGTCATGGTAAGTCTATTTATACTATAACCGTACTATAGTTTTCAGCATCAGCAAGAAGACATCCACTACGGAACAAAGGTCCCTTAGTCCTTCAAATTGAATGAGAACTCGTCACTTATATCCAATGCCTCGATGGCTCCCTGCGACTCTGAAGATATCATTGTCGAAATACCTAGCGGGACGCCAGTACTTGTTATTATTAACCGACTTCAAAAAAAGCAGGTTCTCAGTTTTACTTGTCTGTATTTATGTATGTACACGATTATCACGCATATCGTAAGTGAAGTAGAATGAAACCAAACTTACTGTTATTGAAATCATTTGCAATTAGTTATATCAGCAACAAGTTTATATGAAACCGTGAATAAACTTTGACTTTAATATATTAATGTCTTTTTTCAGAAGAAGAAGAAGAGGTCGATGATGATGTCCCAAGTCACTCACAGAATTCATCGTCATCATCCACGTATGTTCCACTTATTTTATACATTAAAATATAATAAGATAATGACATATTGTCAACATCAGTCATATGCTGTTTGTTAACCGTTGATCCACTTCAAAATAGATAAGGATTGCGTCGTAATTACTTTAAAATGTTTTGTTTGGAAGCAAATGTTTCTTATTGTAGCAGTCTTGTTTGTAATAAATTCAAGCCTAATGCATTTTGTAAGTAGCTTTTATTCGTTGAAGTAGCTATCTTCCCAATCTCCAAGTTCCACTTACTAAATTATAGACCTTATTTCCGATGTTTAGAGACTACTTTTATAGGAACAAATGTTGTAGATTTTTTATAATAAGGGATTAAGAAGTCGACTCTAATGTATTCTAAACTGTCCAATTGCGATCGGCACTTGAAAGACAAGTAAGTAGTTACACTTTCGCATTAATAATATCACTATCGGTTGTTGTGAAATGAGAGCTATAAACAGGATCATTAGATCTTAAGATTGAAAATAGGGTTTTGAACTCGTCAATCGTACTTTTTTCCTAACGAATAATAATAATAAAATAGTAAAGAAGAGAGCATATTCCTTTTTTAAAAGTCCGGCAACGCACCTGTGACTCCTCTGGTGTTGCGGGTGTCTATGGGCGGCGCTGATCGCTTACCATCGGGTGATTCATCTGCTCGTTTGCCTCCTATTCCATAAAAAATTAAATATAATGCGCCTTTGCGTAGTATTGGGATCACTTATATAGTGGTCCCAATACTACGCAAAGGCATCTTCTCCTATAAAAAGTAGTAAATATACTTTATTTATGGTCTTTCAGGCCACGCAAACACAAAGGCAAGGGGAGGAAGGAGACCACACACAAGAAGGCCAGTTTCATGCCCGGTGTCCGAGGAGTGGAGCCTTTTGACACCCAACCGAGGCTCAGTGAAGTCCAGAAGAAAGCTCAACAGTTCTGCGAGTGGGACACCACTGGGTTCCCTGGCTCACAGCCGGTGTCCATGGATACTGCCAACTTGAGGAAACTGCATGAAAAGCCTTATAGAGTATCGTGGAAGGCTGACGGAGTCAGGTATGTCACAGTTTATGTTCTTTGGATGTATAGAAGTATCTTTATTTCTGTCTTGTAGTTGGTATCACAAGTTACTTGGCGCAATGTTACGTATGTTTTCTTTTTGTCATCATCACATTACCTCCATTTTAACAAATAGCTCAGGGGCCGTTCAAATATAACGTAATCTAATTTTTTACTATTATTTACCCCCCCATCCCTCTGACAGCAAAAGTAAGCAAATATCTTACCCCCTCCCCCTTTGCTTACGTAAACATTTTAAATTATATCTTTTTAATATTGTAATTTTAATTTTCTTTTAGATGCCATAATGTCTAGTTTTTGTCGGTTTTTGCTTGTAATTTATAATATCAATATGAGGGTTGCCATTCGTGTAAAAAAGTAAATAACTACCGATGACGTAATTATAATATAGACTCCCCTACCCCCTCCATATCATCCAAAATAAGCAAAACAGACCCCCCCCCCTACCCTCCATGGTGCTTACGTAATACTTGAACGGCCCCTCACTCAATCACTCTAGAGACATAGTTTTAGATTGAGTCTAAAAGTGTTTTATTGATTAGTTAGTTTATCAGTGGCGTAGCGTGCCTTGGGGGGGGGGGGGGCATATAAAAATTTGTTTAGGGGCCCTTGAACGATAAACATTTCTCACAACAGTTTTTTTTACATAAAATACTTATAATTTGTGTGAAAACCGAAAATCTTAATAACATTTATTTTTCTTAAGTTTCTGCTAACCTTTGAACGCATGCTTTACGCGGGAAAAAATCTTTTATTTGACTTTTGCGATTACTGAAATAGAATTAAAATTGGGAAGTTTTTATTAATTTTAGCTTAGGCACGTTGGGGCCCCTGTAGTCCCGGGACCCCGTATATATTGATACGGCAGATACGGCGCTAGCTACGCCCCTGTAGCTTATGCCGTTTACTTCTGTTTGACAATATTTCTTGCCTAATATCTAGCCACGGTTGGGCCTTATAATCAAGTAGCATGCGCGACAATTGAAACTGATGTCACGCAACCAATGCCTTTGAGTGTAACTTACTACATACTCCACTTTACAAAACTGTCATATCAAAAATTATCATCAATTGAAATAGATTTGTTATTTATTATGTCGACCACTAGACTATGTTCGTTATAGAACAAATCTTAATGAAGACTTTTTTTATGGCATAAGCCGGTAAACGAGCAGACGGATCACCTGATGGTAAGCAATCGGCGTCGCCCATGGACACCTGGAACACCAGAGGCGTTATAAATGCGTTTTACCTTTTGGGGATTAGGAGTTTGAGGATCGTTGGGGATTCAATAATTGGGGAGATTGGGGAAAAGGAGGGTAATTGGGCCTCCGGTAACCTCACTCACACGACGAAACACAACACAAACGTTGCTTCACGTCGGTTTTCTGTGAGGCCGTATCACTTCGGTCGAGCCGGCCCATTCGTGCCGAAGCATGGCTCTCCCACACTTATAGTATATTACAAGACTATATTATCATCAGTGAGAAGCTAAAGTGAAAAGAAACGAAAAATGATAGGGTAGCGATAGATGATTAATTTTTATTTTAACCGTCTGCAGCTGACGTGTAGTCCCACAGACACCGCGAAATACAAAATCACGTGTTATACCGTTTTATTCAAATACGAGCATCACTGCTGCGAGTACCTTACTGTATAGTGCTCGCTATACTTTAATTCTACAAAAATATTTGTTGAAATGGTGTCTGGTATAATATACACCTCAGTTGAATTGTAACAATTTAACCACGTCAGTTGCAGAGGGTTAATGTCCGTCTGGTACATTATTGTAAAACATTGGACACATATTTTTTAGTTTTTCACAGAACGACGTCACGCAAACGAATTCCTTTTGACTGTAACTTTGAATGTACTACATACTCCACTTTACAAAGCAGTTTAAACTGATTATTGTTGAAATAAAAGCTTATTTATTATGATTTTTTCAATTACTAGATACATGATGTTGATTGATGGCGAGGGAGAAGTGTATATGTTGGACCGAGACAACTGCGTGTTCAAAGTTCATGGTCTGCAGTTCCTATACAGAAAAGATCTGAGAAGGCATTTGAGGAATACTCTACTTGATGGTGTAAGTTCATACTTTTCAATAGTTACGTATATTCGAACTGTTAATGACGGTTTTCTATTTACGAGATGGCGCTAAATAGACGTAACATCATCCATCCTGTACTATAAGAACCTAGTTTCTTAGACAGACAGTAAAATTTATTTATTTATTTATTTACTAGCTTTTACCCGCGGCTTCGCTCGCGTCACAAAAGGATAAAAAGTAGCCTATACGATGTCATATGTATGTATGGTATATGTATACCAATACACACAGCGCCATCTATATCACAAATTTCGTTTTCCCTCGAGATTATAAAATTCTTGCGGGATAAAAAGTACCCTATCTTATATATCCAGACTTCTAACTTTACATCTGCAAAAATTCAAAGCAATTAGTTTAGTACTTACGGTGTGAAAGCGGAACAAACAAACAATCTCACTTTCCGATTTATAATATTAGTAAGGATTTCAATTAAATGGTTGAGAGGATCTAAAACGTCAGAGGCGCCATCTGTTGAGCGGCAATATGAGGAACTCTGTTTTTAAAAGCAATATATATCTTTTCAGGAAATGGTAATCGACAAAGTGGACAATAAGGACATACCTCGGTACTTGTGTTACGACATTATAAGTTTCGAGGGCGTCGACACCGGCAAGATGGAGTTCTTCCCAACTAGACTGAATTACATCGAAAATGAAATCGTTAATCCTAGGTAATAATCCTGTTATTAATAATTAAAATAGCTATTGTTCTTGTTTTTTTTAAATAGATAATAGAAATATAGTCATAGGTAAAGTCTGCAGTTCCTATGCGTAAGCGCATACCCAGAAACTTACGATAAGATTTACCTCCACATAAACACTCCTTTTATACTCGAAAGGGTGGGCAGAGGTGCGCATTACGGCACTTAATACCACTGTAAAATGTAACACCCACTTTTAATAGTAATAGGGGGTGAGCCTATTGCCATATACCGGGCACGAATCCAGGCTCCGTGCTACTACTGAGATTTTTTTTTTAAAAACCCATTAATTGCCCGACCCGAGAATCGAACCCGAGACCTCTTGTTCGGCAGTCACACTTGCGACCACTCGGCCAACGAGGCAGTCATGTAATTGAAACCTTTATAAAATAGTATGATTATGTTACAGACACCAAGCAATGAAGGAAGGTATAATCAAGAAGGAGAGGGAGCCGTTCAGTGTCCGTTTGAAGCAATTCTGGGAGTTACCGATGGCTCGACAGCTACTTGGCGAGAAGTTCGCCAAGACTTTGTCGCATGAACCTGACGGACTTATATTCCAGCCTTCTAAAGAGGTTCGCATTTTATGCTATTATTTTACCGCTCTGCTCCTGTAATTAATCTGGAAATTGGGTAGTTTCCTGGTTCAAAAATAAATTATTCTGATTTTTCAGTCCAGTTAAATATTGAAAAATAGTTACACTTTCATTCATTGATTTGGCGATATACTTGATTTTCGATTTATTCTAGCATTTTTTTTTAGATATAAGTGTGCTATTTGACGCGATAATATGATGACGTCATAATGATGGTATTTCGTACAAAATTCAAAGAACAGTATGGTTTTTGACGTTTCTACCGTATTCACCATCTATATATATAAAAGAAAGTCGTGTTAGTTACACCACTTATAACTCAAGAACATCAGAACAGATTTAGCTAAAAATTGGTATGGAGGTAGCTTAGAGCCAGGAGACGGACATAAGATACTTTTTATCCCGTTCGAAAAAAAAAAGTTTAGTTTTAGTTTCCGGGAAAAACAGGATTGCGCGTACGAAGTCGCGGGCAGAAGCAAGTTTTTTATAAACATTCACATCACACCCAGACCCGGAACAACGATTTGTAGATAATACAAACATTTGTGCCGTGTGGGAATCGAACCGTTCTGTAACTTACAACCTGAGGCCTTAGTACGAGTTTGATTTACGTTTAAAGTATTCAAAACGAGTACGCGTTCGGCGCTCTGATTGGCCGGCATCAATGAAGCAACCAATCAGGGTGCTTACTCTTGAAACCAATCTCAATGTCAATGCAATTTCAATCCAATAAAATCTCAATAAGTATCCAATGTTAAAACTATACAACCCCTATCGTAGCTCCTAAAGTAGCATTTAGAGTACGGAATATAAAGCCAAACTCAATACCATTTAGTTCATGAAATATCCACGCAATACGGATGCAAAAGGCGCTAGTGTTACAACTCAAGAGTACGAAATTTCACAATGTCGATGTCGATCGATCGGAATTGGATTCAAGAGTAAGCACTCTGAGCTGTGTTGTACGGGAACCCATTGCTCAATCACAGCACCAATCGTGAAGTCATAAGCAGCAATATAGGTGCAATAAATTTTGTTTTTGCAAAATTTTACCTAACCTTTATAGCAATAAGGTTGGTTTTAACAATGTATATTTTTGTACAATTACAGAGATACATACCGGGGCCATGCGAAGATGTGCTAAAATGGAAACCGAGTAACATGAACAGTGTAGACTTCAGACTGAAGATTGTCACAGAAACTGGCCAGGGGTGAGTTATTAAACCATGTCCTACACTTATCATTACTTAGATTTTCTTTGATGTATCTCTTTTGATTAAGTAAAATCGCGGGTGACTCACGTGAATATACTGAGAATCGCCTTCGTCGCGCGACGTCGCCGCGACCGCGCACGCTGCTCATGAGGAAGAACCCCTCTGTGGTTCGAAACTAGTAGAGCTTTACTATTTATATCCACGTGAGTAACCCGCGATTTTACTTAATTTAGTATGTCTCACGATAGTTATTATTATTATTATATTACATTATAAAATGTTCGTTATCGGCCACAAAACGCCTACTACTATTAAAGATGGGCCTCCCAACGATTTCTAGATTGGCCGGTTGGAACTGTTGCAAGTGACCTGCATCCAGTCCACTATTGCCTTGTAATCTTATACTATTATATAAAGCGGAAGAGTTTGTTTTTTGTTTGTTTGTTTGTTTGAAAGCGCTAATCTCCATAACTACAAGTCTGATTTGAATAATTATTTTTGTGTTGGATAGTGCATTTATCGAGGATGGCTATAGGCTATAAAACATCACGGTATGACCAATAGGAGCTGAGCAGAGCGCGTGAAACCGCGCGGAAGTAGCTAGTATACGAATAATTGTACTTACATTAAATTAACATAACATCATATTACGCTTTATCCCCGGAAAGGCACGTCATTCTCTATCCACCTGTTTGCCCAGTTTATTGTAAATCCTATGTAATCGGAGGCAACCATATAGCAAAAAGCCGGGTACCTACAATTTCAGACTTTACAGTATTATTTAGAATTTTTAGAAATTGGAAATATGACCCAGTACTGTTTCTCCTCTTACGATCTCTTGACCATCACGACCGTATTCGTCATCGTCTGCATAGACATCCCCCGATGACTTCCAGAGAAGACTGGTTCATCTTTTTTTTTTAATCGTTGCCCCACACCACGTATTTCTCCTGTGTCGTGGGTGCGTTTATAAACATACAAGTTCACATACACATGACACACAGGCCCGGAATAATAATATATGGATCACACAAAGAGTTGTTCCGTGCTGGAATCGGCCCGCGACACGTTGCGCGGTAGCCAATTGCCCAGCCACCGCTCCAACCGTGCAGTCATTTAGGCAAGGCAGGGTTGGAAACGACCTGTATCTAGCGGCTTCCTGCGACCCTTTTCATATCTTTTATCCACCTTGTGAGTAAACCAAATAATTTTCTTATTACAGCCTCCTACCAACAAAGAGAGGTTACCTATACGTAGGTAAATTGGACCAGCCCTTTGCATCAATGAAAGTGACAAAGGACATAAAACATTTGGACAACAAAATCATTGAATGCACCTTCGAGCAGGGACGATGGGTCTTCATGAGGGAACGGACAGACAAATCTTATCCTAATAGCTACAATACGGCTACTTGTGAGTATTATTTGTTTATGTTAAGGGAATGTGGGCGTTATTTGGGAATATTTAGTTACATTTTTGAATAAACAGTAATCTACAGCAAAATAATGAACAAATATGAACTCAATTTGTATGTCAGTAAAGTAGATTTTAGAATAAATGTTGTATGCTATTAAATATTATAAGCTAGTGGATATCTTACTCTTTATTCAAATTTATTAATTTCTTTTTAATAGTTATTCGATAAATTGAAGAAAGAAAGACTACTCATCATAGTACTTATTTAATTTATATTATTTTTTGCTCCCATTTTCAAAATACTTTTTACTGTTTTCAGCCGTCTGCGAGAGTATAAGGGACCCAGTTACCAAGGAGATCCTACTTGAATACATAGACAACCATAGGTTCCATGATGACTCAGATATGATGCCGCCTCCAAAGCGCATGCGTCGATAGCGTTGTCCATAATGTTGCCAGTACATAAAATAATAAAGATGGCGCGATTGTTAATGTTATTTCTTTTATTTTTTAAAGTGTTGTGACTTGTGACTGAAATTTTAAAGGGAACTATGATAAATAGTTTTGTTAAAACTAGTTTTTATTTCTTCTAAGTACCTTCTTCCTTATTATATTATGTCTTTATGTAAAAGGATCATTAGTATCTTAAGCAGCAGCTTTGTTTTGCGTGGCACATTTCAAACTAGTATTTATACTTTTCTTGCCTTTTTTCTATATTTAATTCGAATTTCCTGTGATACACGCCGACTGATCTTTTCTATTTCTTCTTCATATTTATTTTCGACTTTATGGCTAAACAATACAGTCTAAAATCTAGAAAGTTATAGTAAGATTTAATATTCATGAAAATCGTCATAACACGAATTACTATTATTATAAAAAAATGTTAAATTATTAAGATAATAGGTCTGGTATATTTTTCTGTTAATATTAATTTAGAAATAATAGTGACAATCGAACCACCACTTTATATCGTAATGTGAACTCTATTGCGTTAACAATAATTTACTTAATGTAAAATAGTATAAAAATACTGTAATAACAAGGGTACCATACTATGAAACTACATTTATTTGGGAAATCTTGTGATTTTCCGCCTTTTTGTGAAATATGGATTGTTACATTATAATAAGTTAACGTGAAATAAATATCTATAGTTAATTTATGGACAAAATGCTTTTATTTGTGAACAACACAAGTCTTATAAGAGAACCTAACAATATTATGCAACTCAAGAACGGATAAATCGATCTGGCTCCAAATTGGACCATTCAAACGTCTGTATTCGCTTTGTCTTCGATCTTAAGAAGTACGATCATGTCTCAGTATATCGCAGTAAGCTCAAGTGGCTCCCAATCCGACTTCGCCGGAACACTCGAATTTTATGTCTCCTTTATAATGTCCTTAACAACCCAGCCTATCCTATATATCTCCGTGACCGTTTTTCCTTGGCTCGTCCTCCTGAAGCCCTATCTAGATCCCACCTTAAGTCCCTTCTTGAAATCGTTCAACATAAAACCGATTTCTACTCCTACTCCTTCACGGTTCATGCGGTGAGATTGTGGAATTCGCTGCCGCCTAGCATACGCGACTCCAAGTCCTTCTCCATTTTTAAACGACTTGTCAGGGATTATTATCTTTCGTCCTGAAGTACAGCTTTATTTATATATATATTTACATCCTGGAATCTTTTTGGCGTCACACACGTCGCGCAACATTATGACGTCCCCCAGTTCCCGTAATTTTTTTTAATATGTCTTGATGAATATTGCTTAGTTATTCGATTTCCAGCTTTGTAGGGTACGTCATTTTCCGATAATTTTATTTTTCACGATATTCTTCTTGCAGTCATGCTGCAACATTTTTGAACCCCAAACAATGGTGATAACAAATTGGGATCCTAGATATATTGATCGTGATTTAACCATGGCATCGGCTAATTAACGTCCACACACCGTGGATGGTATTTGCGAGTGCAACGTTGCCAGCTTTGTGTTCACTTGTCTCTTTCTTTTACTATCACTCGTCTGGTAGTACAAAATTTCAACATTATTCCAATATTCACAAAAATTATCGATACATATATCAATGCCCGGATTTGATATAATAATGTTATCTACTAGTAGGTGCCTACTTTATATTATTCTATCAATGTTGTTGGAATGAGTAAGATGAAATAGCTATTGAACATCGGTATATAGCTAATAGCTATTGGGCGTCCGTATATAGCAATTGAACGTCCGCATGGGAAACCAAATTTGATACGCTATTTACTATCAGTATTCTTAGTACTTATACATTTCTACTTTATTAGTCAATTACTGTACTGTACTGTTGATGGACATGCGCGCGAAGAAAGTTTCTTCCTCAGCAGGTATCATGTAAGATCACCTAGCTATTGAACGTCAGTATATGGCAATCTAACGTCCGTATATAACTATTGGGCGTCCGTATGTAGCTATTGAACGTCCACATACAGCTATTGGGCGTCCGTATAAAGCTATTGAACGTCCATATATAGCTATTTGGCGTCCGTATATAGCTATTGAAGATCCACGTACTTCCTCAGCAGGTATCATGTACGATTTGAGGAGTGGCTTGAGAGACATAGCCGCTACGGCGTCTTTACCCACCGCCTGACGCAGGTGCTTATCGGACATGGAAGTTTCGGTAGATTCCTGTTACAGATTGGGCGGGAGGAAACGCCTGGGCGTCATCACTGCGAGGCCGCCCGGAAGACATGGTGGAGCATACGATGGTGGTGTGCTCTGCGTGGGCTGAACACCGCTGTGTCCTCAGGGATGTGATTGGCGACGGTGACCTCTCGCGTCCGACTCTGGTTCAGACCATGGTGCGGACCGAGGGGGACTGGCATGCCGTTTCCTCCTTCTGCGACACAGTCCTGCTACCTAAGGAGGAGGCCGAGTGCGTGAATGAACGAGCCTCTTTACGCTCCAGCCGTCGCGAGAGACACTGCGGGCGTCGGGTATCGCGAAACGATCTCCGGCCACCGTAAGCAGGGGCCTGCGGTCGGCGAGCACGGGTGACTCGCCGCCCGATCAGAACCAGACCCGAGCGTATGGCGCGTCGCGTTCCACATGCGCCTCAAGGAGCCGTCAGACTACCACAGATGGGGCCCCAATAGAGCTGATGCCGATACGGAGCCGCGGAGGACTTAACGGTTTACCGAGGCTCCGGCTCGAAGTGTAGGAGTAGAAACAGGGTGGTTTTTAGTCAGTAAGAGTCCGACACTCCCTCCCGCCTAACCCGGGCGGGAAAAGTCATTGGATGATTTTCCCCCCTCAAAAAAAAA